TATCGGAGAAGAGGAGATGCATTTTTCTCCTTTATGCCACTAACAGAAAGCTCCTTTTGGATGGTCTCCCGTGCACTTGCATCTCCACAGTAAGCAAGAGCTACCAAGATGGCACCCTGCTCACAATACTGACCAAAGAAGTTGGAGTCAGTGATACGTTGAAGTTCTCGATCATCAATATCGCCATTAACGGCGATCTCTAAGAACTGAAAGGAAGGTTCGTCGCCGAATGTGAGGACATGACTCGGTGTCTCCTTTCCCAGAATTCCTGGTGAGTTGGATTTTGGTACAAATGAGGGGGAAAAGCAGGCTGGAAAGTGGTCCTCGATAATGTTAAGCATGCCATCGCGAATCGAAAACACTTTGTTGGAGTAAACGTCACCATCAAAAAATTGTTGTGGCAGCTTGAGCGTGATGAGACTCTCCTCCCATTGTTCCCAATTAGGCTGCCTGACCCGCCATACCCGAGGGCGATACAACCCCCACGTATTGTTAAGACGAGTTGACACGCGAAGGAATTCCACGAAGCGGAGACCCTCTCGTTCGGCAGCAATAAGCGACAAGGCGATGGGATCATTGTCAGTGCGGTCGTCATTGTCAGAGGGTTTCTCCAATGTAATGGAGCTGCCGTACTGGCGAACTATGAAGATGGGAACACCGTGTCGGTGGAGAGTTTGGACGTCACTGGACTGAAGGGTTTGGCTTTCGTCGTCGTTGGGCTTAAGTACAAATGTAGTGCCAATGAGGGAGGTGTCGACAGGGATACAAGGCGGTGAGCAGCCCAGCTGCTTTGCAGCAAAGTCAATGCAGTGGAACATGGCGTAGTTTGTCCACGCAAGCATTTCGAGCCCTCGGCGAAATGAGGTGAGAATCGAGAAGGGAATGTGCGGAAGGGAGCAAAGCTTCCGGTTCAAATACGTCGAGGGGAGTGTGGATCCATCGAATTGAAAAGGGATTGGGACTTTCCATTTTTTGATTATTTTCCCCCACTGATGAAAACTACTCTCTGTCTGTCTCAAGAAATACATGATGTCTGATAGTTGTTCGCTATCAAAAACGATACCGCGCATTGTGGGGCCAAACCCAGGGAAGCCATCACAGCGCTCGCCTTCACGAAAGCTTAACTCCTCCCACCTATGGTCCAATTTTTCATTCAAGCGGCAATGTGGGAGATATGGAAGGTATGGGCGCTGCGAATCGAAAACGATAGGATACCGTGTGTAATCCCAATGATGATCAAATAGGAATGTGTCAGCAGCAGTGAATGCAGGAGGGGGGATATTTTGAGAAGGGGTTTCGTTGGTTGGCTGTCCCAGGAACTCGTATTTATGCGCTCGAGGGCTATTTGAGGCCAACAGCGACCATGAAAACCGGTGGTAAACCCTGTGTCGATTTGTGGCTGTAGTAAGGGGAATGGGGGGGTGAGCCGCCAAGCTAGAACTGGGGGAAGAAGAACATACCTTTAGGATATCGTCGTATGTGGCGTTGATTGAGCAGCTTTTGATTACTCAACGCAATGTCAAATGGCAAGTCACCATTTACGTCGACAAATCGCAACAATCTATAATCCCATTCTACTGGAGTTATGGGGGTAGATGACCGTTCATTCATAAACGATTCATCAAGCAACCACTGCAACCACTCCGACAAGCCATTGGAAGCATGACCCTGTGTCACTTCATCATGATGAAGGTTGACAGATGCCATATTGCGTAGCCGAGCGAGCGAGCCTTCCGCAAGATGACCAAGCGACACCTCAGCTGGCTGAGGATTGGCATTGACCACATGATGCGGATCGAGGCCGCGAGTCGGACGATGGGTTGTGTGACTAGTCATCTTCCTCACGAGTCAATCTACGTGTAAACAGTAATAGAATATCAGGGCTGTGCGCGCTATGGCCCTAATCATCCTAATTGTGAGAATGCTTACTGGAAACAAGACTGTGAGGGGACGCGCCAGAGTGGAGTGTGATCCGGCAACAACCGCAGAAACATGTGACCTGCCACCGGTTTGGAGTTGGCTGAATTTAAATCTATAGAATCCAGATTAGATTAACCTCAGTCCCGTTGTTCACGATGTGAAAACCAAAATTTCTCGCTTTATAAGAAAGGCGCTTTGAACAGCGTGGTAGCGAAGAAACCACAAATGGAAGACGAAGCCGTAACAACAACACCAAGTTACGTTGACATGAGGCCGCGCCCGGATTGATAATGATGGAAAATACACACCGCTCCGTGCAACAGTGCAAACCTGGGTAGCATCTATTGTTGAAGTGCACATTCATGACTGAAGGTCGCCAGATAACGATGCGGTTGAGCAACGGAAAAGAAACGACAGGAACAAACTCCAAAGATAAAATTGTCGATACAAACACATGTAAATACATATCTTCCTATCATCCATCTAATTCCGCACTGAGTGTTGTCCCGATGGCATCCGTGTGTTGTCACGACTTGTTCATCCAACACGCACTCACGATTAATGGGAATTGGATGTGGTGCCGCTGCCTCGGCAACGAGAGGAGATTGAACAGGTTCCCACGGCGTCAAGGCTGCCAGACCCAACCCCAACCTTGTTTCTTTACAGTAAATGTAACATAACTTGTGTGCAACGGGCGACTCGGAACGATAGAATAACGTGGCGACGACCCCGACAAACGTCGAAGCCTCTTGAATTTTTGAGCGACCGAGAAAATCAGAGAAAAAACAAACTAAACACATACGAAAAACATCAGCATAAGAAAGACCATAACTGGGTATACCGTACGCGAGGTCAACTGTGTGCGGCGGACACGAAGGAAGCCTGGTGCTAGAACCCGAGGCACACAAGTCTTATTTAATCTCGTACCCTCCATTAAATCCCAATTAATATCTCCCTTACAGTAAAATCAATTATCCAATTATCGCGAGGATGGCACTGATTAGTCAGGTGATGGATCGAGGAATTGTGCAAGAAATATCTCACCACTTGCCTCACAGCAACATTACCACCGATCGATTCATCGAAGCCAATGGCATTTCTACAGAATTTCCAAGGGGAGCAAGTTGTTGTTATTCCTCCCAGTCTCTCGGATTCCTATGATTTCCGTTGTGATTGTGGCTATCAGAGTATGGCATCTCCTCGAGCTTCTTATTGATATCAATCTAACTCATCTTCAGTGCTGAAATATTGCGGCCGAAAAAAGTTGGAAGGCTACTGGTTCTGGAAATGTCCCCGAGTGAATGGGGGCCAAAGGTGCACCATTTTTCGTTAGTATAGTCTATACAGTCCGAAAACAATGAGTGACTCATACAATATTCACAGTACGCGGAAATCAAATATCAAGGGATGACTTCCGTCAGCGTAGAATGAGAGGACCACCGTGTCCCGGGCAAGTGGCTGGATCTATTCACTCAAAGCCTATCATTGATGCTGATGTGTTACAGCCTTGAAGCATCCGATCTTCAAGCGAGGTCCTTTAGATTCGCACGAAACAACGATGCTGCCAGCGATAACATATTGAGTCAAAGAAGGTAATGTCAATTTGTATTCGCACCGTCTCTTATTCATCGCTCAGAAGGCAACCGCCATTTAGCGGAGGCGATACCCAACCAGCGGCACAAGCTCCAATGTAAGTACAATTTAATGTATTCGGAACTGTCTGATCAACATCTCCCAGGAGTCAGCCACCAGTTCAAAGGGCGGCGGGGTCCTTATCCCTTCCAACCCATGCGGCAGATGCTTCATCGAGGAACTTAATGACTGCTCGCATTATTCAATTGGAGGCCCGAATCCGCGAGCATGAAGCTGCTGCGCAACTCTCCTCCATTGAGTTGGACGCTTTTGAGTCCGAGGTCAATGAATTACATGTGCAGAACCAGGAGCTACGAGCAATGAACGAGGAGCTACAAAGAAAACTGGATCGTACCCTCACCACTTTACGTGGTGTCATTGAGACGCTTGCCTTGTAACTTGTTGCCTTATGTTTGTTCCGACCCACTTCAATTGAATCTAGTCTTGTGACGGCGTTCCGCCATCGTTCTGCCATTACACTTCCGCTCGTCCTAACCGTTTCGCCGCCCCTACGTTCCCTCACATTCGTGGAGTCCTCTTCAAAGCATTTGCATTGGAGACAACCCACGATTACACCTCTTTAGTTCCACATCCTCCCTGACCTTAAACTGCGTTGTGCCTGTTGTCGCTTCACCTGAGTCCGTTGGTTTTTCGTCGGTGTCCTCTTCAAAGCCCCTGCATTGGAGACAGTTCACGATTGCACTCCCTCGGCTCCACCTCCATCCTAACCTCACGTTGTGACTTAATTTCTCGCGTGCTGCCCTGCCCCTGAGTGCATTGATCTTATTCGTTGGTGCCCTCCTCAAGGATTTTTCTTTGGGGATAACCCTTCGAGCTTGCTCCTTCGGCGCTGCACACCTCAGAGGATCGCTGGGACTCTTACTTCACTCCATCATCATTGCCTCTGGGACTTGTCCCTTGTTTTCATCGTCGGTGTCTGTGACAAGCACCACCGAGCGATCTAGCCCATCGGTCCATTGGTCCAACACCCACCGCGGTTCATACGACGCCTTTATTATTCACAATACCCTCCTTTATCCTGATCACCACATCGTTACAACATTATGGCAGGAACTCTACGCAGTCTTAAAAAGTCGCTCAAAGCATCGGAAAGGTATTATGCAAGAAAGCAATCTGATGGTGGGACGTTGCAGAATGAAGGGTCAAGTACCGGTTTCCTGAAGGAGCTGAGCAGCGTCCCTGGGATTGTGCCATCTCTTCGCCGATCACAGAAGCCAGGGGCCAACAACGTGGAGGCTCCTATCCACATTCCCGCCAATGACCACAATGATGAACATGTGCCGCCGCCCAACCCACCCGAAGAGTTCGAGTTGCCTTTCTCCTCCCCACCTACTCCATATATAGGAACCATCCCTATTGGCCTCGACACTGTGGTGGACCGAGTCATCTGCACACCCCTGGATGCACGCCGGTCTAAGCACGCTTTAAAGCGCGAGAGGCAGCATGTGCGTTGGGACAATACAGTCCTTCCGCAGCTCATAGCTGTGTACATTCAGTGGGAGCGTTTGCGTTATTCCGGATCGGGGGTCACACCTAGAGCGGATCCTTGCGATTGTGGGGGCAGCCACCTGGCACTCAAAGTTGTTTGTTTGCGGTTTGACCGCAAAGAGGAGGTCTTGCTTATTGTTTGCAGTACCCGCCCTGCTCCCGTCCAGCTTGTTGAGCTTGGGATGTTCCCATGTGCTCCATATCGCCCTTCACTGGCCGTAAGCATCGATATGTTGGAATGGGTCTCACTTTTCTTCAAGTTTACCGCCCCAAATAACCGGGCATGGGCAGCTACCATGCAAACCATACTTCAAAATCGCGGGTTTCATTTTGATGCCAAGGACTCTCTTCGTAGACGTTTCGCGAATGCCCTGAAATATTACCAGAGTCTCGTTTCGTTAGTCCAAGCGGAGCTTGTTCGTTTAGCAAGAAGCTACGCACTTCCATCTCAACCTTCATCTGTGATGCCGCAGGGGCCATCTACCTCCGTCTCGCAGCATTCCGAGGGTACCGAGATTGAGACTGATTTTGACGTCACGACTCCGATCAATCGTCGCGTGTATGAGAATGCCCATCATACTCCAAACCCTAATGCTGATGATCAGCCTAGTTCTTTCCTCCGTTCTCGATGTCCCCTCTGTTTTGGTGGGTCCTATATGAAAGGGGAGGATGTACAGGCCATCATATGTTGCGATGCGAATTTCCAACTAAAGCGGATTAAAGACAAGGATCGTCGGCGTGGAATGGAGGAGAAAGTCGGGGGGAAGGATCCTGCTTTCACGTCACCGAGAACTGTATTTTTGTCTGAGGACTTCGTTCAGTTTTGGAAAGAACACGTCGAGACCATCCGCCCCACTAAAAAGTCTTCCAGGAAGCGCAGAAACCGTGAAGGGGAGGAGGTGGACATTGAGCGTGCTCCAGCTGGTGCAGATGATAGGAGGGAGTTTGGCTTGCCAGTCCCGAACTCTACATATGATGCTTGTTCTGAGTCTTTCATCGCTGCCGATGGGGAACGCATTAAGGCATCGACAGACTATTTTGCGGACACTGGAGTGATGGCGATCCTGTGTCGCCACGATATACCCCTATTCCTCGTTAACGTCCAGACGGCCGGTGAGAAACAGCACTACCTTTTCACGCTCGTCGCAAAATTCTTTGAGCACGTCCCGGGCTCATGGCGGGTTGGAATATTGTATGACATAGGATGTCAGGGAGATCGTACCCTGAAGAAATACAACATTGCTCCGGAGTGGAGATCTCGAATCGCGTGGGGTGTCTCCATTTTCCATGCATATGGTCACCAGTATGCCTGTCAGCTTTGGTACCATCCACGTAAATCGGAGCTTTGGGGCCTCACGGATGGTGAAGGTTGTGAGAGGGTGTGGAGCCAGCTGCGACAGTTGATACCGGGCCTTCGAGTTACTGGCCATTATCGTCGCCTCTTTCTAATTGATGTCCAGGTTGAGCACATTGAGTCCATGAAGTCCCCTGACTCTGGAAAATGGCTTCGAGGCCACCTAAAGAGGGCCAGGGGGCGACTTAATGCAGCTACCGGTCACTCGGGGAAGAACAACGATGATCCGGTTCCTGATCTGTTGGCACAGTTTGAGGACCAGCGACGTTATTACAGCAAACCTTTAGAGCGTCAATCGAAGACAGCGGCCCAGAAGCTAGTGGATCGAATTACTTCACTGAGGACCGAGTTAAAGACCCAAGAGACACTCTATGAGGAGCTTGTTCGGACCAGGCCAGTAGATGATCCAGTTCGTCAGTTTGAGTCGCAAGAATTCATGGAGAAAGTGGCAGAAGAGATTGTAAGGCTGAAGGAGTCGTTGGCCACAAACATGCGTATGCTTGGAGCACAGGGCGATGCTGCCTTCGAAGAGCTGGAGCGGCTGAAGAAGGATGAGTGGACAAATGAACTCATCAATTTTCGAATCCTTAGGGAGCAGCTTGTTCGGAAATTGCGTTCAAGACGGTTCGAACTCAACATACTTGATCGCTCAAAAGCTCGCACCATTGATCAAAATGTCAAGGCCCATGTGGAGAAAGCAGTGAAGGGCCGATCATCTGCCATTGACATTACACTGCGAAAATACAACGAGAAGCTAGAGCTTCTAAGGAGGCTTCGGACTACTTCTCCAGCCCACCAAAATAAGTATCTCCCACCTTCCCTCAGCCGTGACACCATCCTCAAGTTAGATGTAGATCAAGATCTTTGGCAAGAGTTCTTTGACCAAGAGCCCGGAGAGGGAGAGCTCCCCAAATGGGTGATGGATTCTAGTGTTCGTGAGAGCATTCGCTATATGCAGGAAGCAAATAATTGCCGGTCTGAGATACGCAGACTCACTGCAGAGCATGCTAACCTCCGACACTGGTTGGCTCATGAGCATGCTGCATATGAGTCACTTTTTCGGTCATGTCAAGGAAGGAACAGCGTTGACGTGGCCTTTCTTGCTCTCAAATGGCTCCATGAACTTCACAATCTCTCCATTTCATGGCAGAATCACACCGAAGATGTCCCTTGTCCTCACGATGCACTTCCGTGGCCGGACACCACCCCTCCAATGTCAAAGGAGGATTTCTGTTCCCTTTACACCAACGTTCAATCCACCAATACTCAGTACCCCGGGGCAGGTCAAGATGATGGTGTGGACAGCGCGGATGAGGCAAGTCAAGATGATGATGATAATGATGAAATAGAGCCTGATGAGATGGAGGAAAACGGGGCTCTGGCTCTGGCTATGGCAGCATTAGATATGGGTGAAGATGCTCGCCTTGACCCAGAGAATGTAGAGGGTTTCGCAATGTAAGTTGTAATTGCTGGCCCATGGCGATTCCCACAGTGTGGCCATTTCCCTCAGTTGGCCGGGCAATTGTCTCATGAATTCAGCTCCAACTCTCACATGCATGTGACATCAAATAGCGCGGGAACTCTTTCGCATTAATGAGCGGATTTGGTGCCGATCTCGAATATAACAATGTAATAATAACAATATTAACATTAATTCCGGAAACTCTATGAGTAGATATAACAATATAACAATAAACTCGGACAACTCCGCTACAATACAGCTAAGGTCATAACTGTTTGTATCCTCTAATCACGTGACATAGAGAGGGAGAAAGAGAATAGGCATCATGACAGCGGACTCGGCCTAGCATCGGGCCAGCACAGAATGTTGATTGCGGAACAGGAAAACAACGGCTGAGGGCGGGCCGGTTACAAAGAGAGTACAGTTAAGATACAACGTAATCAAAGGCGGAGTGGGGGGAGGTGGAGGGTAGACAAAAGAGGAAATGCAGCCTGAGCGGGGAGGAACAGGAGCTGAGGGCGAACAATTCACAAATCAAGTAAATAAAGGGTTAAAAAAATACACTTACAGAAAACAGCAACACATGGAAGGGAGAGTAATAACCACGCGATAACGAGGGGTAACTGACAAGCAAGCGTGAGTTAGAAGCCCGGCTGCACTGGGGAAACATACCAGTGACACCGAGCGCAAGCGCTGCGGCAGTGTGAACAGCTCCAAGTCGCACGTGCCCGACTCCGATTAGTCCCGTGAAATAAACTGGAATACATAGCAAACTATGTTAGTAGCAGTGATGGAAGCAAACATAATAGAAAAATAATGCAATCACGAAACCGGGTGGAGAAAAAATTTGCTTACTAGACACAAGTTGAAGAACAATCAATGAAAGCACCCACTGGAAACATAATGTAAATAGGAATAAACACCGGGTCATTTGGATCTGAGACTCATGTCATCCACGTTGATGTCAGCAACATGGCAAGCGGGGCAAGCTGGCAGGCGAATGGAAGAGCAAATGGGCAGGCAACATTGTGGCTGCAGCGTGACATGCAAGACAAAACACGGAAACAATCAGTGAACGTGCCCAGTACAAGCTCGGGGACCTCAAAGCGAGGACAAGAGTTTCAGATTCCACAGGAGTCAGCTGGTGGGGGTACGGAATAGTCGCGGAGGGGGATATAAATCTAATATACAAGGGAGGTACGAAATATTAATTGCTTCGGACAATACAAACAAACCGAGCCTCATACCATTGCATTGACGCCATGGAAAGTAAAATGAATTTACGAGGGGAAAGTGGGCCATGGGACGTAAAGAGGACAATCATCAGGGGACAAACTTACCAGCACAGCGAGTTCAGGTCAAAGCCTGCAAAAAAAAAGTCATCAGATTTGTTGCGAAGAACGGGGTTGCAGCTCCAATTGGAATAACGAACCCACCCCGTTAGGCCATCATCTGATAAACTCTGTGAATACTGAACTAGCTAGGCTGAGAGACAATCAGCGGAACAATCTACAGGGGAGAGACAATTAGCGCGGTTCATGCCAACTGAAGAAACCGGCAAACCTCATGGAACCCTACAACAAACCCACGCCTCACTGCAACGATGAGTTAGCTAGGCCACACCCCAATTGAGGGACGCAAAGCGTATGCTTAGGACTGAGGAGGGAAGGGAGGCTTGGCGGTGGTCGCGGCGCTGCGCGGGTTCAGTAGAGGATGGGGAGAGGATGGGGAGACGGAAAGAACTAGACAGTTGCGAATAATTCATCACCTGATCTCGGCGTTTGCCTCCTTTGTATTGAATCTTGCCGAGGGAAGTTGCCGCCATTCAGACACCTGCGGCAAATGACAGTTAGAACGTTCAATGAACGTTCAATGATGATCAGAATACCCCACTGGAGAATGTTATAGAACGTTCAACAACCTTTTGGCCTATTAGGCACATACACACAACGTTCACTGATTGTTTAGAACGTTCAGTCGTGGTTTTAGAACATTCTAATCATTACGAGCATTCCGTTGGAGAACGTTATAGAACATTCAACAAGCTTTTGGCCTGTTAGGTATATATATATATAGCGCTTTTGGGTACCTAATCAGGTCTCCAAAATATGGGTGACATGGCTGCCTCTAATGCAGAACCAATTGAGAAATCGATCCTAGCTGCTTACACCCATCTATCTTGGTCCTGTTCTAGGTTCGCTGCGGGAGATTTGATACAAAGTTCGGCAACAGGAACGAACACTCCAGGAAGGCCAGCGCCAGGTGGTTGCATATTCGCAAAATGCATGGTGATGCGCCCCGCAAGTAACAAGATAGCGGAATGGGAGGATTTAGCATTACCACCAGAAGCTAAGGACCTTGCCGTGTCACTGTGACCCGGGCGAAGCAAGTAAGCGGTACGTTTAACAATGGTGCCCTGACACAAATTTGAATTAATGCTCGTTCTCCGATAAGTGTGGACCTCGAGTGACCTGAATTTGAACACACCTCCTGAGGCCAAACCTATGGGTTCACCACGGAACGATGATGACAGTACGGTAAGACGACCCCAATACAGGCAGCAAACCGATGACGGGCCCTTCGCCCAAACATGTGGGTCAGAATAGGTCAGAATAGGAGGGTTTGGGTAACACACCTAGCTGCACATTACTTACCTCGTCGCTCCGGATTTCTGGTGATCCAGCTCGGTGAAGCCCATTGAAAATGGTATTATGTAATGAGTCACGGTGGTCTCGATCTCGTCATCATGATCGTAGATACAACCATCAACCATGCCGTAGTCTAACCTAAGAAACCCCGACGAAGCCAGCTCTCTGGCACATCCCAAAACGCAGTGGCTGCATGACGTGTTATGTCAATATCCATTACCTCGAAGCTTCTTCATTATTCTCCATGTCCGAAACCTCACGCAACAAAATAATTACTATACATCACGTTGAAGCCACACAACGAGACGAGACTTCCATTGTGTGTGTGTGTGTGTGCGCGCGTTCTGCGGAATAGAGACTCCATTGACAAGTCCCGTTTTATCGATATTCCCGTCGCCACTGCTCACGGCCTCTGGATTGATGCTTGTGTCCAATCTTCATCATTCAGATGTTGCGTGGAGTCGGAGCCATGGACATGTATATATATGCACACAGGCAAAGGACTCTCAGGGAAATACCGTTCCTGCGATTACTCTGCAGGTGAGGCTAGTTCTTACGCAGTACAAGAACGGACGTGACAATGAGATGTGCGTGGAGAGGTCCTACATAACACAGATATGACTGCCGCCAAATGCCTGGGCCGATAGACCTCGTGTTAACCTTGGGCCGCACTGATTTAACCAAACGAAAAAAAAAAAGGAAAAGCACTGGGCGGGTGGTCGGCTCAGGAATTATAAATTAGTGTTCGTCTGCTCCTTTCTGGCCCATTTCACATTATTTATGACATGGTAGATGTCCATCTAGAAAGGGGGTTATATGGAGGAAAAGAAGGGGGAGATGTAACATCACTCCCGATCCCAAAGTTCGTCTCAAATCCATCTCGGTATCGCCATCCTCAAACCCAACCGAATGGCTCCACTTCTTCCCAATACCAACGCGAGTCCTTACCATCACTCGAAGATACGGCATAGACGCCTCCCTTCGTCAGCAGCTCCTCTCAAACCTCCTTGACGCGTACATGGTACGCTGGTGGAGGGACAAGGCACTCATCGGTTTCACCATCTCCGCACCACGACTTGAAGTCCTGACGCTGAATGTGAACGGCAATGAACTACGCAAGGAGAGAGTGGTTACGTGAAACTAAGTTCGTTGAAGCGAACGGTATCCTCACATGTGGTGTCGTCCCCTTCCGACGAACCAATTAACCTCCGGATGTACCTCCTAGCGGCCTCGAGTAACAACTTGTTGAAGTGTGCGTGTCACGCAATGTTTCACCAGCCAGGACTCCAATCAACACCAAACATGTCCTTCGGAAACCCCAACCCTGCATAAAAAACATAGAAGAGGTGCTGTAAATGTTAAAACGTTCACGAACGTTTAAAATGCCAAATGAACCAACCTCGCCTGGGAGTGATTCATGTTTTTTGGTGTCTCGATGCGATAGGCTTCTCGTTCTTTAACGACCCTGTGAATTCGCAAGACCTAAACAGGATTCCCATTGGTCGTCGCACTGCCTGGAGCCTGATGTACGCACCGGATACTGCAGATATTCGGGGAGGCCCGAATCAAGTCCACAGAAGGGTGACACTAGTATAAAAGTCATCTAATCGTTGTAGATTTAAATGTGGCGGCAATGCCCTCGAGTATATGCTGTGGACTCACCGATGAACGGGACTTCCCTGACGCTACTCCGTCTTGGTTGTTGCTCAGTTGCGCCTCGTTCCCTTATTTTAGGCATGAACATCGAGAAAGAAAGACTCGTTGGAGATATCGGTACCACCATGCTGACCAACGGCCTATGTTCTGGCTATAGCATCTTCACTTCCGACCAGGCCACTTCAGTGAGGCACTCAAGAACGGGACAACATCGAAGACTTGATTGAAACATTTCTTCTCTCGAGCTTCAACGCGATGAGAAAAAGATGGGTCATCATTGCTAAGTTTCATCTTTTGGGACCCATACCCGTGCGGTAGAAATTGGATAGAAGGACTGTGTGGGGGTATACATAGACCATAAAATCCAAAATCGTTGGCTGATAACGGCAAGATTAGTGTCACTGAGGAACTATGTAATAGTTCGCGACTTACTGAATCCAGCGCTTCCCCGTGTCTGTAAGAGTTAGACAGCAGACTATCCGTTCTTCCTTCAGTCCAACATACGTTTCGTCAGGCCAGAATTTTCTAAGAAAAGGGAAGTTGGAATTTTAAGCACACTCCGCGCCTGAGTGTTTACCGCAGAAGGACAGCGTCGGATGGGGGAAAAGAGTAGGATTCTGCACGTCTAAAGAACGGCTCCTCGCAAAATTGATCGCACAGATGAAAGCGGGACCCCGTGTCTTTTGCTGCGCTAGCCGCTTTGTAGATGACAGGAGGAGAAGCGTGACAATTAATTAATGGGACTTGGGATTTGCGGAAGGTTGTGGTCCTGTGGTGATGACATAGATATGTCTCTTCACACTTGACTGAGGGACAAATGTGGAGGAAGGGAAGGATGGGGGCCTCCTCCTTGCCTGCTCCTCCGCGCCATGGATCGGGAGTACAGGTCCGGAATGTTTCCGACACGTGAAAGCGAAATTGCGAAATTGTGGTAAGTGAATATGTGCAGGTAATGGCTATTCAATCCAATACTCCAGCTGCTTGCGATATTGCAGGAGACCGAGGGCACCTCGCTGGATTGGAAACCACTCAGGCCTCCTTCCGGCAGAAAATTCGTAAAATACACACGATTCAAAGAGCGCAACATGAATTTAAGATTACAGGTGGGGGTAGTAGACGCAGGCTACAAATGTGTCCTAAAGAAGGCGCCGCCGGGACACCCGAGAGCCATAGCTAGATGCCGCCTGCGGAGGGAAGGGAAGGTATGATTAATGTCGGAGCCCGTTCAGCTCCGATTGCCTTTTCCGCTTGCATTAGGGCAAAGGTGATTTGTTGAGAAGTAGGGGTGTTCGAAGAGAAGAGAGGTATGCAAACGTGGAAGAAACTTGTGCGAGGGTCCGAGGGTTGTATTGATGGAGAGGCAACATGCCATCATTGGAAATGATGGACTGTTGGCAATGATTCGGATACCATGTTGTTCCTTCGAACGCAATATTCGACTCTACTTCATTGCTCAACGATGATGGTTTATTTACGTACGAGATGCCATCAGGCTCCCCACCGAGCGGAAGTCTCCCGACCCCAGGACGGAGACTTGGCCTGGTTTTTATCAATTCCATGGATGAATAGGGACTCCAGCCGCAGGTGTGCTCTTCGGACGTTTTCCTGTATTCTTCAGCGGTCAGGACATGCATACGCACATAAATTATGCGATTTCCATACCCGATGAAGGTACACTGTCATCGATTTCTCGAGGGCGCTTCTTCAGACGTGGCAATTCCCCCGCATCGAGTGGGAGTTTACCAGTGACTCCATGTTGTGGCGTGGAATGCTCCGTCACTGCTGCAACGTTGGCTAGGTCTGGGGGAATGGGTCGGGCAAGGTTGCCTAAGTGGACAGCCTTGAAACCCTGAACCACTTCCTCAATGGTTGAACGCTCCGCGGGATCGCACCTGAGGCACCTTTCAATGTTGGCAAGGAATTCATCAGGGTCCTTCCATTCAAAAGGAGGGAGTCCATTACGTGCGGCGCGCGCAACTATGAAGTCGGTCTCGCATGCATGATATGGCTTCATGTCAAAAAGTATCTGTGCAATGTGATAGAATGATAAATATCACTCTCAAGTGGTTCCTAAAACAATCTTCACACCTCCCCAGATGTGCAGCCAAAAGCCCAGACATCGCTTCCTTTGTTGCGAGTTGATATTCGACCGTCGAGCACCTCGGGTGATGCAAACCGCATTGTACCGACGGTACTTGACCCTTCAGCGTACGTAGAGAGATCCAAAATGATGGACGATAGTCCGAAGTCACAAATCATAGCATTTCCCTCGCTACCAATGACAACGTTATTCTGGAGAGGGCCATCAAGAAACTTTGCATCGGTTGTGAGACGAGAAGCAAAGCCTACCGGCTTGATATCACCATGGACTATGTCCTTTGAATGGAGATACATTATGCCTTCTGACACGTCAATGATCTGAGGTGGTGATAAGACAGTTTTCAGCATACAGAGACGATATGAACTTCCCAGTCGACGACGGTTGGCATTCGGCTCCTTTTGCAAGTACTGCAATACATTCCCTCTCGGACACCAAGCGGATACCAGTTTCGCGCGTGTTATATTGTGCTCTTGCTTACATTCCACGATCCACCCATGGAATGCCACCACGTTTGGATGGTCTAGCGCCGACCAGACCTTGACTTCGCGCATCATCCTCTACCGTGCATTAAGCTTAAGTCAACTAAGCACAGAGAAGCCCAGCGAGGACGAACTCGACAAAACTTAGTTATGACCTTCATGCCATCTGACGTGCGAACTTCTCTTAGGGCTTTGACACACACTTCTTGCTGATGGTACACCCGATCAGCTCTTCAGGATTGCCGAAAACAGGAGACACTATCGTACCTCCCCACAGACCCCCTTATACACCTGTGCAAAACTTCCTTGGCCCATCAGAACCTGATCATGAGTGACTTCATCGCTGAGATCACGGTTGTGGATTTGAGAAAGCTCATTGAGGAGTTCGGACAGCCAGGTTGGGTGCTGCGAAAGGGGCGGTTGAGGGGGTGGGGGCTGTTGGGACCCGGTCGGAATTTCAGGCTGCGACGGTGGTTGCTGTTGCTGTTGCTGCTGTTGCTGCTGTGGTTCTTGTTGTTGTTGTTGCTGCTGCTGCTGCTGCTGCTGGTGTCGAGCACTCTGGTTGGCGAGGATTATGATATTATCAATATGGGGCTTAATAGTCTGTCGATACGTCCGTAGCTCGTTCAGGTCCATAACATATGCCAGGGGCTTGATACTGCTCATTTGCGACAAAGCTTCATGCTGCAATTTGGCCGCTTGCCACTAAACAATGTGGTAAATATCAAATCTCAGTCAAAATCGAATCGAACGACTCACGATATGCATGATGTCGCTGATAAATGAAGGCTCAACTTCGGTCAAAGCGAAGTACCTTTCGAGATTTGCTTCTAGCGCCACGATATCACGAAGCAACGAGAAAAATTCCTGATTAAACACTTCTCGCTGACCCTCATCCACATGAACGGTGGGCCGAACTCCTAAATAAAGAAGTAGGATAAGATCAGAAAAAACTTCGAAAATGAACAATTCACGCACGCTGACGAAAACCCTGAGTCTTCAAATGATATTTAATCTGCCTGGCCATCTCTGCCCTCTTCTGCACACGTGCCACGCCTAAAGCTTGATGCACAGCAGACTGCGTCATAGCAGCACTCACATTCCCAAGGGAATTCGCAGGTCTCGATATTGCGCCTTGACCTGGACCACGATTCACAAGGGTTTGAGACGGCAGCAGTTGGTTTTGTGCTTGAGGTTGGAGTTGTTGCATCTGGGATTGAGTCTGAACGGAATAAGTGTGAGGCAGCTGAGCCGGAGTGGGAGTCCGAAGAGGCTGAGGTTGCTGCATGGGCGTCGGCATCTGTCCACGATTCGGTGGTATCTGACCGGATTGTGACCCCTGTTGATGCGGCTGCAATTGCGATGGTGGCAGAGGCGGTTGCTGAGGGGACTGTTGGGAACCTTGACCTGGGTGAGGGTAAGCCTGAACTTGTCGCTGAACGTCTTGAGATGGAGCAGGTTGCTGCTGGGGTGGCTGCTGCTGAAGAGCTTGAGCCGAGGCCTGCTGTTGTTGGGCATCAGCAGTCTCAGGAGTCTCAGCAGCCGCCGGCGTGCCAGAAGTATCCGCTCCACCGCTCATCATCCTATCCTTTGACAATGCAAAATACTGAGCTACCGCCCTCGAATAATCAACAACGACCTGCGGCCTCTTGTTTATAAAGAAGTCCTGAACTTGTTGTTGCGTGAAATTGAGCTTCGTCATGAGTCGTTCAGGAGTCATGTGAATCAACTGATGCATCCGCTGAAGCTGAGGTACGGGAGGGGGAGGTCCAAGAGACAAAGGTTGTTGTTGCGAAAGGGGATAGGTGTGTGGCTGTTGTTGAGAAACGCCAACGCCGGGCTGTACTCCCGAAGATCCAGGTTGTCGAGATTGCGGTTGCTGAAGATTACCACCACCCGGCTGACCCATGTTGAACACCGTTGGTCCACCAGGCCCGAGTGGACTGGGATTCGAGTTCGGATTCGGATTCTGACTCGGAGGCAGGCTGTGGCTGTGTGTGAGAGACCTTGAATCGGCGAAGGCCGATAGACGAGCTTAGAGATCGTGAACTTAACTCAAGAGATCACTAGACCCAAAAGACTCGATTTACACTAAAGAAAATTACAAGATCGCTATACTATCAGCTAGGGGTCTGGGAGTTTATACTAGAGTGCGTGCTTTGCATCGCGGTCACCTGCACAGCACCCATTAATGAATGAAAGCCAACAATCAGAGATTGTAACCTGCGCAAGGCACATATGGTACAAAGAAGTATAGTAAGATGATTGAGTAGCTTCCAGAGAGCGCGCTTGGACAGAGAAGCAGAAAGAGATGCCATTTCATCGTCTCCCAAGTAGCCTATCCCAATGAGTTTGAAAGCAACCTGTTGTGCTTTTCTAATCTTGAAACCCCTCTCCCATCGACTCCGATCATGCGTCCCATTAGGAATCGATCACCAGTTGCAGATTCCGACTTCGGAGACACCACAGAACAACCCATAGACCCCATCCACTTCTTTGGACTCGGTTCTGAGGTCCCCGACTTCGTCGACCCTCCTCCTGCTGATCCTCCCATTCCCACTGTCCCAACTGCCGACGATCCCCAACATGGCAATTGCACAATTAGCCCAAGCCATTGCCAGCTTGGCTTGTCACACCGGACATCCACCACCACCACCATCCTCCGCTCTCCAGACCAAGGTCCGTGAGCCCAAACAGTTCGATGGGAAAGATCCCCAAGAACTCCGAGTATTTCTGGTCCAATGCGAACTCAATTTCCAGGACCATCCCCTCGCTTTTGCTAGCAACCGCGCTAAGGTCATCTTCACGCAGTCCTACCTCAAGGGAATGGCCCTCGATTGGTTTGAGCCGGATCTATTATTCGATCAAAATTCTACCCTTCATCTGCGATGGATGAATAACTATCAAGAGTTCGTCAATGAACTTCAAACCAACTTCGGTCCTCATGATCCTATGGGCGACGCCAAAGTTCAACTAATGACCCTGGACATGAAGGACGGACACCACATCAATAAATATGTCATCGAGTTCAACCGACATGCCTCTCAACTTCATGGCTATGGAGAAGCCGCACTTCGTCATTTTTTCTATAACGGATTGCCGGAATGTATCAAGGACGATATTGCCAGAGTAGGTAAACCTTCTACTCTTTCGGAACTTCGCACCTTGTCACAAACTCTCGATGCACGCTATTGGGAGTGTAAATCTGAAGTTACATGTCACGTGAAACCCTCCTCCTCTAACGTTTTCGACAAGTCCACCACCGCTTCTCGTTCTGACCCCATCCCTTCCTCCTCCTCTTTCAACTCCGCTTCCAGTAGTAAGCCTCCGAAGGACAATAAGAAGTCCGAGGCCAGCTCCGCTAAACCGGACCTTTCATCTAAACTCAGAGACAACGGCAAGCTCACGCCACAAGAGCGTAAGTGTCATCTCGACGAGAAACTTTGTATGTTCTGCGGTCAGTCTGGCCATATGGTCAAGGACTGCCCCAAGTCTTCTTCTTGCACATCTAAGGCCTGTTCGGCCCAGACCAAGGAGCAAGGATCCGCTTCCGCAGAAGCAAAAAATCAGTCCGCACCCCTGTGGACTCCGCATGGACTGGGGGTTGCGATTTTTCCCTCCGTGTGCTCAAAGAAGTGCATTTAAATGCGTCTTCCATCTCCGACTTATCCTCCCTCCATATTCCCGTTTCTTTTTCTCTTTCAAATGGTCTATTTTCTCCTCTCAATGTTGACCCTTCGGTTAATGTTCTACCTGTTGTAGATAGTGTTGCTGATGTACCACTCTCTCCTCCGCCCCCTCCAACTACTTCCATAGATCAATCCACCTCTCTCCGTTTCTCTTCTTTCTCTTCTCCTGTTCCTTCTCCTCCGTCCAATGATAGGACACACAATAAACTTTTCTGCTCCTATGAGAACGTACCTGCACTCATAGACTCTGGGTCTTCAGACTGCTTCATTGACGACACATTTGTAAAGAAGTTGGCCTTGAAGACATATCAGATTAAACCCCTACAACTACGCCTATTCGACGGTAGCACCAACTCAATCATAACCTGTGCCATTGATATTCCCCTCCGCTTCGCTTCCGGAAACATCACCCCCACGACTTTCTTTGTCACATTGCTGGATGGATCATGTTCCCTAGTCCTAGGACACAACTGGCTTACCCGCTACAATCTGTTGATTGACTGGGTCTCAAGCAGTATTACGTTCCAAACTTCTGAACCTACCAAGACAGTTACTCCGAGCTCTCCCCCGTCGTCTCCAGCACCACTGCCGTCGTCCGACATCCAACCATCTGATGTTCCGCCAGCACCTCAGTCACAGGCTCCCACTGTCAGGGCACACCCACCTGACCCCACTCCATCCGGTCCGACCCCACCCGATTCCACTACCCTCACCCACTACCCCCATCCTCTCTCCTCCCTTCTCTCCCTCTCCTTTCCCCTTCTTCCTTCTTCTTCTTTCCTTTCTTTCTCCTTCTTTCCTTTTCTATTACATGGACGACTTCCTTGCTCGATGTACCATTAACCAGACTGTGCAACACGCCCGGACCCGGACACACCGGGTGACACCCTACACACCGGATGCCCCTGAGACCTCTTACGGAGATGCCCAGGCAGACACGGCTGTGCACGTTGTAGGAATATAAAAGTTACAACACTAAAACAACCAGAAACCATCACAAAAAATTGGATAAAAATCATACAACCTCCACAGACCAGAAATAAAAATAGGAATAAAATCATAACTCAACAAAATGAATTGAAATAAAATATCGGAAAAATAATGAAGAACAGAGTCGATGGATTGAGTATCTACGCGAACTTTCAAGTCTAGGGATTAAAAGATGGTTCAGAAAATGAAGAAAAACAGCAAATAAACTCACATGAAAACAAAAACAAGGTTTCCTGTATCAAATAAAATATTAGAAATTCGTGGTAACGTGGGAAAATAGTTTTACGAACGTACGAAACGAATGACAAAGAGAAATCGGAAGAAAATCAAGGCATTCATATAATGAAAAATGGTCGGGTACGAGGAAAAGATGAAAGAATTGGGAATATTTATATGAGGAAAATAGGGAAAAATATGAATCTTTGTCGGTCTTAAAGAGTTGAAGTATAGGTCTGTGTAAGAAAAGATTTCATGTTAAAATCTGAAGAATTGAGGGAGAAATGGATTTAACAAGATTAGAACACACTTGCAGAGAAGACTGGCTCAAACATCCTGAGTTTGTGGTTAAAACGGATGAGCTAGAAATGCGAAACTAAAGAGTTCGAGTCCAGGAACGAGGCATAATTTATCCAGAATTAATTGTAAGAAAATGGATGAGCTAATGCCAAAGCAATCTGGAGAACCTCAAAATTAAATCTTGAAAAATTCATATCTTCATAAATAATCCTCGTAGTTTACTGTTGTTTATACCGACGGAAAGCTACACCCTTAAGCTAACAAATAACCCCATGACATGTGACTTAGAATAAAGTGAGTAAACAAGGGTAAACAAGGTCATGATGGGTGTTAGGCAATGCAATTGGCTAATTCCCACACCAAAACTTCCAGAAAGTTCTAGAAGCAGAATGGGATGCTGATCGCTTACATAAGAGGATTGCTAAGCTCAATATAAGATTACTCAGCAATGTAAATAGTAAAGTGACATGTGAAAACAGAGCCCTTAGGAAAGGTATAAAAGACCACATTTTCTGGTCTGACCCCTCTTCCTTCTTTACTCCTCTCCCCTACGTGCTCTGGCTCATAGGTCATAAGGCGTCCTAATAAAAATTAAGTTTTATTAGTATAAGTGTGCAGTTCAGATCACATCTGAGTAAAAGTGATCAACCCTCAGTAAAAAGTTAAGAAGAAGTTAAGAAATAGTGATGTTGAGTCAAGTCAGTTGGAGTCGCTCCGAGTTAAAAGTGACAAGACAGAGGTGAAACGACTAAAAATAGTAGGTCTATAGCGTGATTTTCGTGTGGAACAATCAGGTAGACAAGTGGATTGAACCCTGAGAATTTCATACACACACAAATAATCAGTAACACATACAAATATCAATACACAAAGCAACCAAAACGCTACAGTGGTTGAGTTAAAGTACCAATACTAACATATAAGTATCAGAAGAAAGAACAGCCTTTTATAGGATTTCTGTTCTCCTCCTTCAACGTAGATGACGTGGCACTCCCCACGTGACCTCCAACCGCATGTACATAAACACAGCCTAAGTGGGAACTGAGAAGTAACCTTCTTCTCACACTTCCCACTTTAGCCTAAGTGGCCAAGGACCCTTGTTTGCTTCGGGCCCGTTGTTACACATGCCCGCGCTGCACCCTACCGGGCCCTCAGCCCCAGGTGATATACCTGGACGCTCTCGACCCCAGGTCGGTCCCTGACACCCACTCCTCTGTTACCATCTATCGATGTGAGGTCTTTGGGTAGCTCAGCACACAAGGCCGTAAGTGATACAAGTTTGTGTATTTTACGGTGGTGTGTAAGCAGTTACCCGGAGGTTCCCGCTTGCCCACGTGACTATATGTATCTAATTTACATGTGGCTCAGGGTTCGGGGCTATTGCCCTGACATTCTCCCCCCTTGCGTTGCATTTGTGATGCATACAAGGTTGATAGTGAATAAAACAGAGTTTTAATAATTGATTTACATTGAGTTTGGAATTATCAATGAGTGTTTTGTTGTCGCCACTTTGAAGTGGGCAATTTTGTACATGTCGGTGAGAAAAGAGAGGGGGTTTAAGGATGAATGAGTGTGGGCCGTTACTTTGAAGTGAATGGCGATACATTGGTATCGCAGGGAGAGAAAAAAAATGGTGGAGTTTGTTGAAAATGAATTTCGACCCAAAGGTTGTATGTCTTTGGTGTTCCTCACTTGTTCTGTGAGGGTGTCAGAGTTCTGAAATATTGTCGGAGTCGGAAGTACTGTCAGAGTCTGGAATATTGTCAGAGACAAAATACTGTCAGAGTTGGACAAACTGTCAGAAGGCGGATAGAAGACGGATTGGGTTCTGTCTGAGTTGAGGTCGGAGGTGATGCAGAGGTCTGTTGGAGCGCGCGC